CCCCTGGTGACACCCTTGATTATGTCCAGTTTCTGGCTGGAGGTGTCAATAATGAGTTTCTCAGGTGATGGTGATTTGTTTGAAATTTGAACCCTCTCTCCCTGTGTGTGTGCATGCGTCTGTGCGCAAAGCCTGCAACATCATGTCTCAGAGTCCAGAGGGCAGCTTCACCATGGTGATGCCACATCAGCGCAGGAACTGCAGCTTCTCCATCATCTACCCTGTCGAGATCCGCCTGACAGATCTCAGCCTCGGCGAGGCCAAAAGCAATGAGATCAGCCCACTGGTAAGCCAAGGACACAGAGACAGACAAATAACCTCCGATCATCGTACTGCTAGGATATACTGAAACTATTCTTCAAATGGTCTCTATAATTCACCGAAAAAGAGTAGCGGTTGCTTTAGATAGATGTTTGCTGTTTGAGTTTGTAGGTGTGACATTAAATTGGAAACAAATATGGACAGAATTATGTTCTCGGAAAGTCCAGGAAGAACATTTCTAGCAAGGCAAAATAGTATCGAAACAATGTGAATCTCATTAATGCTTGTCATAGACTCTCTTCAGCTCCCTACAAAGCCTGGAAACAACCATACTGATCTGATTCAGTGGTTTCAACTGTCATCCCCCAACTTCAGTTTCTTTTTTTTTCACCCAATGATAAAGATAACGTTGCAGTCAGGAGACAGAGTAGCATGCAGTCTTCCTGTGGAGCAAAATGTAAAACCAATCTGCTAATTACTCAGTATTAGTGTCCTTATGTTGACCTTATTTATGTTCCTTTCACCATGTGTGGATTCGATTGCATAATCAACTTAAAATATTGGCAGTGAATCTTCTCATAATATTGTCATTGAAAGCAGTCCAGGGTTTTGGAGAGTCATACATAATAAGTGTTTTATTTGGCAAATTGGTTGCTGACCTACGCTGCTGATTTGAGTTGTTCATTTGACACCAGTCCTGATCCAACAAGAGTTAAAAAAAAGTCTGAATACATCTCGGTGGTAAAGGGGTAGTTAGATTACCCTTAACTCTGCAAGTTAGCTTCTGTCCTCCTGCTAAAAATTTAATTTAAAGCATTTATTTTTGTAACTGTCACAGCTTCTACAATGAAGACAATAACCAAAAAATGTCTCTGTTAAAAATGTTAAGCACCTTCTAAAAACGCATTAAAAAGTAAATATTTTACTATTGGTTACTTTTTAAGGAATACAATTATTGCTTACACTGTTCCCTTTGTTATTACTATTTACAGACATGTAATAAACACAGCAATAATTGTACTCGATAATTAAAGGTTACAAACTGTCAAACATAAATGCTTAAAGTTAGAGGGGGACAGAAGTGGTTTCACCCATTCTGAGAAAAAACAAACAAAACAGGATTACTGATGAGGATCTTGGCAGCCTGTCTGCAGCTGCCTGCCAGACTGCTGACACTATGATTTATTGTATGAAGTGAATTTGCCAAATTCAGGCCGAGGAATTTCTCCTAAACATTTACGGAAAATTGTACTGCTCCAAAACAAAGTGTCCGAACTTTAAAGAGGATTTTCTTACAATTATACAGATAAACTACAGAAGATGCACCTAAATGATATGAAAACAGAATTAGTTTTAGGTTTAAACTGCTGTCTCAGTGTGGTGGCACACAGACAGGCTGCCCTTTACTGTGTTAGGTTTAACCCTATTGGACATTATATCCACCTGTTAAACCTTTTCAAGTTGAAGGTATGCACTTTTGTTCGCTGAACTTTAGAATTGAAATGTTGCTTCTGTTGCAGAAACAGATGTGGTCGGGTTGTTCGGGTTCTGGTGATTTTGTGGAGCTGCTTGGAGGTAATGGGGTGGACACCTCTAAGATGCTCCCCGTGGCTGACCTCTGTTTCTCAGTCAGTGGGCTCGGTGAGTGTGCACCTGTCCATCTGCTCTCTCTACAGGACTAAATGTTTTGACTGCTTTTATGATGATTTTGATGAATAATCTATATCTATGATGTTTGAAATGCAATGTATAATATATACAATATAGCGTACATTTTTTAAAATAACATTTTTTTGCAAACATGTTACATTACGCATTAGGACTACATTTATGTTAAACATATGGCATGTTTTTGGAATTGCAAAAAAACCTTAGACTGTTGTTTTGTCTCTATGAAATTGAAATTGGCCCCTTCTGTGAAATTTGACCATGATAGCTCCATCCTGTGGCAAATACTAATACATAAAAACTGTTGGCTTTGTGTCACCGATCTGCTTTAAATGCTCTCTTATTGAAACATCTAAATAATCAGCAGCCAGCTGCATGATACAACAGCTGCAAGCAAGCTGCGAAGGTTTTTCATCAATCACACTGTCATCTATCTCATTGTATGTTGCAAAATCAAGTCAACACAAGAGGAACAATTCCATCATCGTAATTGAATACATCTGTTTACTACAGTGTGTTAAACTATTCTTACTGATTTAGCATGATATGGATGAGCCAATGTTGTGCAGTCATCTTTAAAAGGGGTTTAGATTTACACAAACAGGAAGTAGTGGTGCTGCAAATACTCTTACCATTAGCAGGCAAAGAGGAGCTGGCTAGAAAACAAAAATGTTTGGAGAGTTCTAATATAAAGTCTCTGTTTTTCTGTTTTCCACTTTTCTTGTGGCCCCTCAGCCCAGATGAAGATTGGTTGCGATAACTCGGTGGTGAGGCTGGTGTCCAGTGGAAACTATATTAACCGTGTTTCCTTCCAATACCGGCTACTGGATCAAAATGAGCTTCCCAAAGCCCGAGAGAATAGTCTGGATAACTTCTGTGCTGTGGAATAAGATCTCATGACTACTGACAGACACACACGCATGCTTGAGGGCGTTCATGCAGACAATCACATAATCACCAACCTCTCTGTAAAAATATTACTTTAACAGACATGTACCATTTAACTGATACTGAGAGTAAGTAGTTTGCAATGTATTATCAAGACATTTTGTTTAGTGAACTTATGTTAGCTCTCTTTATGATATATTTATTTCATGATAATTGTATTCATGGCAAATTAACAAATGATGTTGGACTATAATGTTTTTTTATTCAGTCATTTGACATAACACATGATACGTTGTATTTTAGTTTTTGATGGTAGCTTTGAATTCTGTTGCTCTTTGTTTGATTTAGTTGACTTTCCTGCCATCTCTTTATATAGCCTCAATCATTCTAATAATAAATATGACTTGCATGATAAAGCACATGTTCCAGGTTCTGCTTTTTGTGTCTGTAATTTGTTAATGAGCTTTCTCTGATTTCACAATACTGCATGCTTACTTGGTGTTTAACTGATATCGGCTTGATCCAGATTTTTTTCGGCCACTTTATTATCCTTTAGACACTAAAACGGGAGTTTTACTTAGTTTAGTAAGAAAAACACACATTTTAAAGAGGTGTTTGCAGTTGCACTCACTTGCAGCAACACAAAAAAACAAATAACTTTGATGGCTAACTTTGTCCACATCTAAAAAAATTTACGACGTTAGATAGTTGTATGCTTATTATCCGGAACCCAATTAGTCTGTCCCTCTCTGCCATGTTACACCACTAGATGTCACTAAATTCTGGACCTTAAAACATAATTTACATCTTTTTCCAATTAACCTACCAACCTACCAACTTTCTCTTGGTTTTCCAGCCCCGCCCTGAAGTCAGAAACTCCCATTAGGTTCGATATGATTAGTGTTGCCATCAGTGTGAAAGTGCATGGTTGTTTGTGTTGCTTTTCTCTGTGATTGTCTCGTGGGGGACTGGCTACCTAAGTCACTCTATGATAGCAGGCGTAGGCTTTAAATCCACAAGTGACTAAATATGTGCATCCCGAAAACATATGTGACAATGCTAAACAAATGCCTGCGAAACTTTATTTTTGTTTTGTAGTGGGAACAGCATGTAAGCAAACTAAGTGTTCACTCACAGAAGTTCCATTTATAGACCTTTTCTGCTCCTCACTAGTGGCTAAACAAGCATTATGTGGTATACTCAGCTTTGTGCAGCATCACACTCTGACAGGAGTTTATAAAACACTATTTCTAAACTTTTTCAATTTCGTTTTCAATTTCACTGCACTTCTAAACACTTTTTTTACTTGTATTTGCTATGTTTTGCCTTTTAGTCACTGACTTATTCAAATTTAAGCACTGTCATTACTTGTTTGTGGAGAAAACATTGTGGTTTGACATAAATGGACTCTCTTACAATATCTGCCCTTAAATTTCTTTAGCTGATTGAGTGGCAAGTTCTCTGCAACTTGCAAAAGATGCAAAGGCGTTGTAAACGTACTCACTGGTCATTCTGTGTGTCACAAAAAATATGTAAAATGCATGTTGTACAAAATCTTTCCCCTTGTTTATAAAAGAATGCTTCGATACAGTGGATTTTGGAGCTACAGATTTACTATTAGATATTTCTTAATAGGATGTGTCCCCGGTAAAGTTTGTTTCTGTAATTGTGAATTGGCTCAACTGTATTAACACTGATGTGTATGTTTGTTTTGCTGAAAATCACTTCGTACATTCCATTTCATATCAAGAAAGCAAATTATTTTTAGATTAAATCCGTTTTTTTAGAGGGAATTGATATACCCTGCAATGATACATTAATGTTAAATGTAATCCAGTGTATCCTTGTATTAAAATATGATGTTGGCTATCACTATTAAGCAATGACGCAGGCTTTCTGTTATTTTTTTTAATCCAATCTGTTCCAGAGACAGTCTCTAAAATAGCCTTCTGAGTGGTTGATCAGTGCTCAAAAGTGAAATAATGAAGGTTTAATACGCAGAGCTAGATATAATGCTGTTAAAAAAAAACTGAGATTGTGAGATTGTGTGTAGCTCCTCTCTGTCAATGACTGTTAAACCCCATCTCCCTCACACAGCTACTGTACAGCAGAGGACCCACTATCTGAACAAACATGGAACTCGTAATGGGATTATCCCACAAGCCTCAGTGCTCTTATTCCCCTCGACATCCCTCTTACTGGCTTGCTTTTGATCTTCTCCTTACATGGAATTAATCTCAAACCTACTCAGCTGTAATGATTCAATTAACCAGCGGATGTTTTTTTTCGCTCGATGTGTTGCAATGTTCGTTCTTCATTAGAGAGCAAAATGCACTTTTAATGCCATCGAAAGGAACATATCTCTGATAATACATTTTCTAGTACTCGGTGCTGCCGTCCTGAATAATCAGCAGTGTATTTATGGTGCCCTGTTATGATGAAATATAAATAAGTTTGCCACGTCTCAAGTGGAAAGAGGTCACACATGCATGACAGTAGCCCTGGTATAAAATGCAACATGGTCATGTATACATAGTAAAAACAGAATGTATACAACAAAAATTAGATTTTCACAGACCTTTAGCATTCCTATATTCTTTATCCAAAACCAGAGAGAAAGTATATTAGGGTAGAAATACAAAGAAATAATACGAGATACCATATATTGACCGAGCTCTTACACATTCTGAAGTGGAACTGTGTTAGTTAATTACACAGTTAAATAAACAACATCTCCACGTTTCCTTCAAAGCTTTCGAATTGATAGAAACACAAGACATGAGTTCATAGTGTCGCTGTGTTATTACTGTGTATTATAAAGAAGTTCTACAGATGCAGGCAGGATTTTTAAAGATTTGATTTATCTGTTTGCAACTATCAGAATTAGATTTACCGCACGAGGTTTGAGGGGTTTTTTTTGCCAAATTTTGGATTTGTATATAAGACAATTGTAACTTCTGCAGCCACAAGAGATCTCACATGCAGTTTTTTTTTCTTTTTTATTCCAAGGAAAATAATTTTCACTACAAAATATACACATCTGCGTTATCATTGGGTTACACAAAAGATATATGAGTCGTTATTGGCTGTATATTAAACTTGTGCGAGACAGCTTGACTCACACGATGGGTTGTGGGACAGCAAACCCCACTGATATACAAATGAATGTTTTGTGTGGAAAGAGATTATATAGTAGCAGAACAGAAAAAGGCAGTAGCAATCAAACTGATATTTGAGTATTCACTTGTAAAAACACACACGACTCTTAGGTCTGACCTCAACTCTGTGGGTCTTTGTGACTCTTTAGGGAGTTTCAAATCAATCTACTTTACGAATTAGCACCAGCCTCTTGCTTGAGGGAAAATATGTCAAATACATTACACAGCATGCAGTTCAGTGGTTTGCTCAAATGTGCCAGATACTGGAAACACACTACATAGTAACTCTGCCTACCGATGTGTCAAAGTCTAACTGCTACCCCGGAGTATAGTCCGTTATGTTACATCTGCTCTGAATCCTTTTTAAATGTACTTGTGCTGCCCTTAGTTCAGAGTTGTTTGGCATCTGTGAAGAAAACTTCAGTCCGACCTTATTCCCATTCTGGGTAAAGGTGCAACCTGCATAACCAGAGCACACTGGATTCACCTCACCTATGATGCTTCCCGTATTATGTATTCGTTTTCTTTGACAAGGGTTCCCATTCGAATATGCTAAAAATTATGGTCTTGTTAATGTCAGTTGAACCATCAACTGTCTGGGAGTTGGTCTCATATCACCTTTATGGACAGCTAGAGACAGATAGTAGATGTTTCACTTTGACACTAATAAGTGTGAAAATTATCTCCATATTGAATGATAACATTTCTTGCTACTTTAAGATTTGTTTTCTGTGTAAGAATGCTCATGTGTGGGATTCTGCCGGGGTGTAGTCAGTGGACAAACTGTTAGTCACCTGATCTGTGGCAGAGGGTTGGATTTATGGACCAGCTGTGCTCCACTCATTTTGCCTTATAAAAGACATTACTTGATAGGTGACCGAGAATTGATTAACAAGTCTGCTTAATAACACTTTAAATTGAGAAATTAGTTAATTCACACATCCCTTCATCGTAAAAAATATTTTCTTATTTGAAGGTCAATATCTGAATCCCTTTAAACAAGTGTTCGTCTGCAGTGTTTGGGAAGAGCTTATTGTAAGAGATTCCAAAGCTCTTTTTTGGATGTTGGCTGACATTTGTTCCATTCTCTGTCCAGTTAATCTCACACTGCTTCAGTAATGTTCAGGTTTCGGGTCGAGGGAGTATTCATCCCTCCATAAGAGCTGTTGTAACTGATTTTCATTCCAGTTTTTGTGTCATTTGGCATGCTGCATTCTTTTCTTCCAGTTTCCCTTCCTTAAAAAATCACTTCTTGGCAGTCATGGCTCCACAGAGGCCGATGCTGATGAGGCTTCAGTGAACTGTTGACGCATCAGTTGAGGGGTCAGATGCATCCCACCACAAAAACTGTAAGGACAAACCACAGGCCATGCTGGGATACGACCCATATTTACCTAACAGATCTTCAATGGTAAGCTTGTCAGGACATAAAATCGTATGTCTGTTAAGGTGTTATCTTTTAAACAGGAATAAAAGAAAATCATGAAAAACATACCTCTGTCTTTTCGATAGTCTGATTGTATGAAATGTGCCAGAGGGCATATTTAAGATTCAAGATTTAATTCATGATGGTTTATTTACTGAGTTGTTTGCTAGATAGAAAAAAAAAAAACAGCATTGTATTTTTCTTCTTTTTTTGTTTTGTTGAAATGATGGGTTAAAGGTATGTGTTAAACACGTAACACATGCATGCATTTACACATAAGCAAAATTATCAGCACAGAAATAGGAAGAAAAAAACAGTCATATTAGAAAATACTTGGATGGTTTTGATTAAAGCAAGATTTAGAAGTAGAGCCACTTACACCAATTACCAAAGAAACATAGCTTATCTTGAGATTTTGCTCAATACTGGTTGTTTACATGATTTATAAAAAATTGCTTTTGCATAAGTGCCTAAAACATTTCCCTGATTTGATTGGACAAGCAGATCATACCAATAAAAACAACTCTTTAACAGCTCTGATTATGTAAATATATAATACAAATATAAATATATTTACTATGATATCTACCATATGGCACTTGGCACATATACGTCAGTATTGTCCTAGAATGATGACAAAATTGACTGGAAGTTTCCTTTTGTGATTTTGGGAACTGTTGATCTACTGCCCTCTACTGGCGACCTTTTTTAACTACACAGGAAAAATAACATCCCAAAAGTGGGAATTCTCAAAGTACAAATTGACAAAAAGCACTGTCTTAAATAAATCAACTTTTGGTAGGTATATAGTCCGGTTTTGGTAAGTTGGAATGTTAAAGTTTGGGTTTGATACAAATAAAATGAAATATGTTTACACAACTATTATTGCAATCAATACATTTTACGTCAATCCTTTGTTCAGTACATGTCATATATATCTCTAAAAATACCATATCCATTCAATTTGTCGACAAGTAAAACAGAAAAAATAGATTTCCATCAAAATAATAATAAAGCTATCTCAGCAGCTATCACCACTCTTATTTATTTTTGTATTACTAGTATACTTTACAGCACATTTAATTCTTCATTGCATGAAATAGAAAAATGTGAACGTCAAATGATGTAATAATGGCTTTTCATGCCAAAAAGAGAGGGATAAACATCCATTGTTTGTTTTGCAGCTGGCCCACATCGAACAAATTCACTGTTTGCTGATAACAATTTAAGCAACTGGAGCAGAGGAAAAAAAGTCACAGTTTGAATAAAAACATTGAAATATCTAATGACTCACAAAATAATAGTTGAGACCATGCTATGTATTATATTGGAGATAATTTACTACATTTCAAAAACCTAATATAAAAGAAAATATTGGAAGAAATTGAAGTCACACTGCGTAGGATACACAGCAGCTAAACAACAGTGGTACAAAAAATCCCAATGCAATGGTAGAACAGCAGTAAAGACATAAAAGACAGGGCATGCACCCCCGCATAGGTCAAACCGTTTTGCAGACAAAGCAAAATGCATTTTTTCAGAAGGGCTGACAAAGAAAAGACTATATCCATGTCTCTACACAAACACCCTAATCTCGTATGAAATAAGTGAGCTGGTTTGCAGAGATGAGAACTCATCAGTTATCAATTCCACCTTTTCATCTTTGCATTTTTCTACTCTGAAAGAGCATCATCATGCAAGTCTAAAAAACTATGGAGTTCATGTTGAGGAAATCCAATTCATGTAGATGATAGCTTGTTGCTCCGCCAATTGATCATTTCCCGAATACATTTAGTGAAGATTGATGGCATCTTCCACTGTCTTTTCAACCCTAAACTAATTTTGAAAAGCCTGGCAGTGACACAAAAATAAGCAGTGCTGCCATATGAAAAAGTTCTGATGACAATACAGAAAGTAACTCAAGACAAAATGTGTCAAAGATGTTTGCTGAAAGTGACGTGCTTTTTTATAATGGTGATAAGTAAAGCCTTTGGTCTCCATGGAAAACGGAATAATCACACTAAATGGATAAGTAAACCTGTTCATTACTAGTTCTCAATTTACATAGTAAGGCATTCAAACCGTATCTAATATACGTGTATGGTGAAGAAGTCAGTCAAATCAAATTGTAGCTCTGTATTATGTATAATCAATGCAGATTATATATAATACAGAGCAATGAGTTGCTTCTATGTAGTCATTTCTAACTTCACTTAAATTATTATAAATGCAATGAAAAAGGTAATTCACTCATAGTACACTCACTTCTTTTTGCTGTTTGGCGTTGGGCTCCAAAAGCATTAATTGACCTATGTCATTAATCTGCCAGAGAAGGATGAGGTAGTCAGAAATACTCTCTCCAGGCCGGATTTAAAAGGACTACTGAGCCCAATAAGTAAAACGGTCATTTCTCATGATATCATGACTTTATTTATACATTCAATGCCCCTTTTTCTCTTTCATGCTTGCAAACATGATGGAGCTAGAAAGGTGTGGTTTAACCTGCCTGCCTTTGTTTAGCCCGTCTCCTGTGGTTTTCCATCCGTAAGGAGCTTGGCCTTTTACTCCTGGATTAAAGGCATTGTGTAGGAGTCAGGTTTGCATTACTAGGTTAACCACCTGCTGCCGTAGCAAAAATATTTTTTCATCGCACACCTTTGTTAACAGCTGTCGGCATTTTTCTTTTTTTAGTTAGTTTGTTTGTTAGTTTAGTTTATTAATAGTTAGTTGGTAAAACTATTAAAGTGGCTGCTGCCATCTTTGTAAGCTATTGTGCAAGACTTGATTATAGACTTGCAAAGGTCATGACATCATTGTCTACTATAGTTCCGTCTTATTAATCCTGGTAATTGGCTAGGACTTGATACTGTAATACCTTTTCAGGTAAAGTCAAGGAAGTAGTTGACTAAGAAAGCTGGGGAGTAAAGTGCTATAAAGGGCTATTTCACCTATTTTTCCATGATGCTATGCTTTTTCCTTTGTTTTGCACTCAGATTATGGTATGATTATGGTATTTTGTGTCAAGAAACTTTAATCAAATTATATAACCTTATCCATGTTTCTTATTCTAAAGCTTTATTTTTTTGCAACATGGTCTGAAGTGTATATATAACAGAGAAAATGTTTGCGTGGACTATGAGTATCGATCAAACAAGACAACAACAAAAAAATAAGGTCATGATTCCTGCACATTTTGGTCTGATGCATGACCGAAACACCCAAAAGCAAAATCATCTTTGTGTTGTCATTGACTACAGATTATGTTTTTGAATTTGAACTGATTCTGCACATATGTTATCAGTCGAGTACAGCATAATGTAGTGGGAAGAATGCATACATCTAAAACCCTACAGATTATTATGATTTTTTTTTTTTTTTTACTTTCTTGTTTTATTTCAAATCCATGTCAATTTCTTACTCAAGACAGCTGTAAGAAGTGTGCCAACAACACAACTTAATGCATTATTAGAATTTATTTTGTTTAGAAATCATGTACATGCATGAGTTTATTGTGACTGCAAGTTTGTACATTGCTCTTCATGCCATGGATCCCTTGTGGGACCAACAATTAAACAATCAGCCACTGGAGAAGCTGTTCTACTTCAGGGTTCCCTTCCGGAAGTCACTTCCTGAACTGAGGGATAGGGGCAGGGATCTTGATGTCCTGTCCCCTCTCCAGCCTCTTCTCACACTCAGTTAGGTAGTTAACACCATCGATCACTAGTTGTACCAGCTCCACCTGTGGTTGAATCACAAACAACATCAGCAAGAGTGTATCTGTCAGTAGTACAGTGTGGAGAAAATATCGTAGCTTTTTGCAGTGAACATTTTGAAGGTAAAGTTGCTTCTCTTGGATCACTAGAGGTTCTGCACAAAGTCTAAACGCTTTAAACTTTTATAGTTCTGTAGATTAGTGAAAGTTAACACTTTTTTAACATTGAGTGGTACTTCCCAGCCAGGGTTGCCGATTAAGAAACAGCAAGGAAGTAAGAGAAATATTCCAACTTGTGTTATCTGTTCTCTTCATTCTTAACAGATTTACCTCTGATTTGCCCAAACGATCAAGGTTAGAGATGTCAAAGGTGTCTCCAGTGGCAGCTGTGTCAACTCCTCCCGTGCCTCTCTTCTGAAGTCTCAGGTTTTCCAATATCTTCTTGAAACGGGGATCCTAGGTCACAGCCGGCACATATCTCAGAATTTTCCTCTAACATAACAGCGGTAACAAAGGGCAACTGTTGAGTGTGTGTGTGTTATTTCCACCTTGCTGAGAAGAGGCAGACGAATATGCACACCAGCCCTGAGTCCGGTACCAAGGTTAGAGGGGCAGGTGAGGATGTAGCCCAGACGCTCGTTCCACATGAACTCCCATCCTCTCTCTTGAATTAGATGCTCCACCTTGAGGTTAAGATAACAGAGCACGGGTTGTTTCAAGTCACAAGCTAACTGAGAAAAAGGTTTTTGTTTGGAATGGGAGTTGCTACTGAAAAAGAAAAGAACTCTACTGGCTCGTTGTGTTGCAAGATAAGCGACAGACACACACACACACACACACACACCTGTTTAAGACCTCTGCAGAATCTTTCAAAAACTCTCTTCATGTTTCCTCCTTTTTCCATGGATATGATCCTGGTGTGGTCCTCCTCATTGATCCAGATCAGGAAGTTCTTCTCATTGTTGTGCCTGAGTAATACAGGAAGGTTGAACTAAACTCCAAACCAAATGATAAGGTGATGACAATTCTGGTAAAATTTGTGAAAAATTAGAAAGCATAATCAATTTCCTCTGCTGATTCGATTCAGTTAAGCAGAGGAAATAACCTGCCATTTCCTTTCACAGCACTGATAAGGAGAAGGGCGCTGAGAGCTTAAGCCAGAAGTAAAAATGAGATTAAAAATGAGGAGGAATTTGAAGAGAGATGTTGTTTATGTGTTGCAGGATGAAATTTGATTGGCGTTGGAAATTGCTATAAAGCATGGAAAATGGTAAATCTGCTACATTTCTGTCATAGACCCTATTAAATATAATTTAAAAAAAGAAAAAGAAAAATGGGTAATCTTATAACAAAGTACTGTGGTCTCCTCCCCTGCCTGAAAAGGAGTGAGTCATATTAGCGGCTGCTTTATTTTTGATATTCATATTCTCTGTCTAAACAATGAATCAGCTTCACCTGCAGCATAGCTTGGGGGAGGGGGAGGTTCTGTCGAGGTTTCCGCTCTAATCCCGCTATCCCTGCAGCTCTCACAGTTCCTCTAAGCCACAAACACACTCTGTATGTATTTCCCCTTGTCTAAAGCTCTCCTGTTCTTACCAGATCCCACGAGCATCAGGCCAGTCTCTGGCCATCCCAGCTGATGTGAGCAGAGGTGACACAGGCTTATCAAACAGGAAGTGTTCCTAATTGGCCAAAAAACAAAACAGAGGACCTAGTGAGGATGTTAGATGACACATATAATAACAAGTGGAAGAGGTCTCCTGTTTGTGTACGTGTGTGAGTGAGTGTTGCAGCTTAGTAGGGCTGTGTACTGACATCAATAAGCTGCTGCTGCTCCTTGTCAGTCATCTCTCCCAGGCTGTAGTAGCGGCCTGACAGGTCTCCTTTCAGGCCGGCCAAAGCCGTCACGGTCACGCGCTCCACTTCACGGCGCTCGGAGCGGGTGCATGCGGGGGGCAGACTCAGTCCACGGATGCTGCGGCCGGTACGCACGCGAGATGACAGGACGTAGCGTTCATCAAACACTCCGGAAGTGATCTGTGAACGTAGAAAGCACTGGGTCACCGGAGGCAAAAATTGTAGACAGTACTTTCGAAAACAAGAAAGTGCTGAATCGTGGGTATTACCTTGGAAGCGTCCAGGTCGGTGGGATGCTTCATTGCGCGAGGGTCATAGCCATTGTGTCGGTCCTTAATGACAGGGTCAAAGATCTCAGCAAACACCTGATGGGGGGAAAAAAGCTTTCCTTAGCAACTCTGTGAGACCAAAGACACAAAAACAGTTTGAATAATAATTCAAACCTCATAGCTCTCCTCATCTCCAGCCACCATTCCCACGGTCTTGATAAAGGGGTGTCCGGGGTTGTCAACCCCAGTCTGGATGCACTGGTCCAGGGTCCAGTCGTTGGGTGTTGTCTTGTCCCTCAGGTGGGCATAGATTTTGGGGGTTAAAGCTGCTGCCATGCAGTTGTTGTGCTTCCTCAGGTCAGGGAAATCAGCGCTGTTGAGAGTATTAAAGAAATTGATTGGAATGGCATCGGTATGAATTAATGCTGTTAAAGTAAATTATTTTATTAATATGACAGAAAATCATAGTTTAAACATTTTATGAGTTGTTATAATCTATTAAGGTTTTTTTTTTTGCAGAGTCAATGCCTCTCTGAACTTATTGAAAGTTAAGAGAGCTTCAAAAACCCCATGCTTCAAAAAGTTTTTTTTTTTTTTAAATCATTTAATTTGACTTCATATTAATTTTTCTTAAACAAAAATGTTTTTGTTGTAAATTTATTTCAGAAATATTGAAGCAACACATGCACCTCACCAGCTTTGAAAGAAAAATTATGCACATGTATCTCAGGTTGATAATGCATTTAGACAGAGAAAATAATAATTAAATCCAGGACTTGTTTTGTGGATCACCAAACCTGCATTTAAAGTGGAACACATGTACCTGGGAGGGTAGAGCCTCTTCCTGTCAGCAGCAGCAGTACTGTCACTCAGGAGGTACCCTGAGCCCAGGGTCCCCGCTCCCACCGCCATCATCACTGCCGCGTTACGGCCCGAAATCATGCGAGTGAAAGAGTTTGCCATGGTTACGTTGTCTGGTTATTATCTGTCAAAAGGCCAGAGGGCAAAGGTTATTGTCAGAGGACTTTGATAGTGTGATTTAGGCATCTGCAAAAATGAATTTACAATGTTCTGCCAGTGAATGTTAAGTAACGGCAAGCAGTAACAATAGGCTTTCATAACAGCTTTTAAAAACTGTTATTAACTTTTTTAAATCTAATTGGAATATTAGACATATTGTAATGCATTTGATTATAGTCGGATCTGAGTGTGATAAATGCCAGGCATCACTTTGAAGCACACTGAGACACTAGTTTAACAAAGCTTGAACTTTATCCACATCCTGCATAAAGGTCACAGATGGCGTTCGGAGGAAGCTGATAATTGGGAATTAGACTGTTCAGCCAGACACAAGCAAAGAGAGGCAACACTCCGGATCTGCAGACTATCTGCTGTCAAGCTATGTACATGACTGTGAATATCATTTCAGACATCATATAAATGTATGACTATTTCAAAAGAAAACAGAATCACACTTAAATACCTTTTTTTATTAAGACATTTCACACATTGTAAAGAAATGACTAACCTTTATAGAGGGTACACATTGAAAATGGCGATATTATTTTCCCTTTTTGTAATAAAGTGTAGCAGTCTATTTAATTTTCCATAGCACACATCATCTCATGTACATACAGACCAAACTACGGACTGCATTAGGCTATCAAATGCTTAAGTACCAGATACACCTTAAATCCGCACCATGAGATTATTCTGGAAGCAGAAAGAAGCTGATTGGTCACCCTTAGACAATGTCAAGCTCATGTGATCAGATGATTTGTGATTAGAGGCTGGGAGAGTCGCTGGAGCAATTTTACGTCTCTAGTTCTTATAAAAAACTGTTCATGTCAGAGATGATAATTCCATCACAGATGTGAAAGTACAGTTTTTACCTATTATTGTTACATCCTAACTGTGAGATTAAAATTGCAGCGTGATAACGGATGGAACAATGAAGCCATGCTGTTATTTTCTGTTATCTGCCATAATTTATTTTTCTCTCATTCATGCACGATATGAAAAGTTGATGGCCAGCCCAGAGGTAACATCAGCCCAGAGCAAAGCATGATCCTAAGTTAAGTCTGCTGATCTTACACAAGGTAAAGCTAAAAAAAAAATAGAAACAGTGAAGGTTGTTCACTGTTCATTGTTCAGGAGTACGACAGACACTGAATGCGTTGAGAGAGAAATAGTTTTTGAGACAAAAAGAATTACAAATTGTTGCAAGAGAACTTTGGCAAAGAGAAAAGCGATAGCATGCAGAAGACTGAGGGTCAGAATGAAGTGTGTTAAGAGTCACATGAAGGTCAGTGCAAGGAATAGTTGAGAAAAATGACCTTTTAAAGAGATTGTAAAAAGTGGGATTAGTGAGAAGAGCGGAAGATTACATGTGGAGGAAGAAACCGCACCTAATTCCCTTGCTGACATGTAAAAACCCAGTACACATTTTTGTTTGAGGATTTTTTTTTTACGCTTTTTGAATGCTTTTTGAATGCTTTTTTCATATAGTTAAACAATGAGATGAAGGTGTGAGACACACTGGTTTACTGAAGAGTACAATTAAGGGTATGTAGTTGGTAGAGGGCCAAGAATAGCAGGTATCTTAAGTGAATGACACAATTGATTTCTGTAACTGCAAAGTGAGCTACACAGCAACTAGTTTTGTTGCTTTCACACAAACTGTTTGGCAGGGCTGTATCTTATATAGGGTTCAAATAGTTCCTTTATCATAAACAGTTATACAAAAATATAAGACTGATCATCCGATACTCAACACCATCATCTTTTTATGTTTGATAGAAGTAAGTCTGCACCACTTAAAGTTTGTGAACAACAGGCACAATAAAATATGAGGGAAGAATTCGCCGAGGGGTAACAAAAGAAAAATTCATCCCTCACCTGAGGATAGCTGAAGAGTAGAGGCAGCAGAGGGCCAGGAATTTTCTAGCAGCTCAGTCCAGGAGGTTCGATCCGCAAAGAAGGGCAGACTGAAGAACAGGGAGGGGATCAGAGAGAGATGGAGCTACTAGCCCGGGATTAGCCTCTCACTGGCCAAAAGAGGATTTTCTCTGTCAGTCATGTCTGTCTTCCTCACCTCTTAATTCTGAATGCTGGATACTCTTTCTATTTTTGATATAATATCCTCGAACGCCAGTTTAAATAAGTCCAAACTTCCAAATAAATTGGATGGATAACTGTTTATTGTGCTAATTCTCTTTTGCACACTGGTATAATTTAATTCAGAGGAGGTAAAAATTCTTCTCTGCAGTTTTATTTTGGGAACACTAGTTTACGTCAAATTCTACACATCTAAAGCAAAGGCCAAGAACCTTTTCAATACCCTTTTTTGACTCTTGCTAATTTTCTCCTTTAATGTGGTTCAGGCTCATGCAAAGTTATTTTCAGTTACAGTCTTACAGAATGAACTATTCCCCGCTCTGAGAAACCATTATGTTTGACCCGTGTGTAGCCTATAAACTATGTTGATCAAATTAATGTGATGAGTGCGTTGGAGGGCACTGGCTGTAATACAAGTATGAGGAACTTTGAAACAGTTTTTTCAGTTTCTCTGAAAACACTGACTTAATTAAAAATCTAGTCTAAACAATTATTGCTGTGATGCAAAATAATATCACTGAAAACGTTTTTCTACTTTAAATAGATGCTTCACAAACACCAAGAAAGATACTGGCATTTTGCTTCAATATGAATCTACTGTGGAATAAGATCAAATTCTGATGCTGGTTTGTAGATGTTAGCATGCTTCATACGTTTTTGGCTGTGCATAATCATGTGTGACAAATGTAGAATTAAACTCAAACAAAATACTGTACTTTAAAAAAATCTCTATAGGCGTATTGCTAGGGCAGAAGTCTATGCTATGAAAAAGGCAAAGGCAAAGTAAGGCATGTAGTATTTATTTCCCCTGCATTCACAAGTGAAAAATGCAAACAACTTAACAAGGAAACAAATCCACATAAATAATATAACAATACAAACAGAGCATCTTCTATTCCAAAACCTGTTTGTAAAACAGCATTAAAGACACATTTAAAAGGACAAGTTTATGGAAAATAAACATTTGCTCATTCTGAATTTCTTTTTCTGTTTGATAAAGAATGTTTTTTTTTCTTTTTAATGACCAAAGTTCCAACATTTTACTATATAACAACAGGCAACTTTTGTAGATGATGCAGACTTAGGATTATACTCGACATGTGAGATCCACAAAGAGACAAACGTGCCAGATTTATTTGACAAACTGTTGTTTTTATAGTTTTTAACAGTTACAGAGACAATATCAATTTAGCGAAGCAGAGGAAGAAGGGAAAGGGAGCATCCAGTCAGACATGCACAGCATGCAGCTCTTGTGTGCATGCAACTACAATATTTCATAAATATGGAAAACAAAGTCTGATTAATCAAATGCTACATTTTTTTTTACCTTCAGAAGGCATCTTAAATCAAAGCAACTAAAATGAAACTGATTTTTGTTTTGTTTTTTCTGTACAAGTTATTGGAAGACACAGCCTCTTAGAATGCAAACGACTTCATACGTGAACCACTCCCACCCCAGCTGATTCTGAAGCTGAAAATATCTGGCGACTGGCCGGAAGGAAAAAAATTTAAGAGGCTGCATCTTTAAAACAAAAAGGACCCAAAAACCAGAACAACAATAAACTTGATTTTCACAGCATTACAATTGCATTATATGTTTGGAATCTCTATATACAAAAATAAATACAGTGTCTGATATCATAAATAAATAGTAATGAACGGCCATCATACTATCAGTCAAGCAAAGCTACATGTCAGAGTGCAAAACCGTCCCAGTCTAAATCTAAATAATAATCAAGTTTCAGTTGCGCATAGAACCTTAACAAACATGTTAGTACAGATGACAAAACAACCAAACTGCACAAGAATGCTGCAGAAGCTTGGGTTAGCAGTGGTTATAGCAATGTTTAAACAGCAGAGGGAGATACTTGCTTATGATCCAATGTTGCATCACTTTATTGACATCGTTTCACCATCTTTTTTTTGTTATAGTATCATGCTGCTCTATCAATAATTTAGCAAGAAGTAAGAACTTTAGTAAATGAATATAAAATTATTCTTTTTCATAATTAAGGTGGGAATCCGTTAATTATTCAAAGCTTTATTCTGGAAAATTGCCCATTTTGGAAAATTTGACTAACACTTTGAGAAGGCACTGGTAAACCATTCATCTCGTTAGTTTTGATTAAAAATATAGCTCTCTGATTGTATGAAGACTTTAGCTAAATACAACCTGAAAAAAATATAGGACTCATTGTTTTATCTGAGTAATATTTAAAAAGTTTTCATCAATAAAAATGTCATTTTTATTTTTAAATGTTGTGTCTTTTTTGCATTATAGTTCAAATCTCATTGAGGCCATTGAGGATGCATAGTGACTTAGAGTCACTCTGGTCAGAGTGAAGCACGCTAAGCCAGTGGTCAGGAGTCAGGTGGAAAGACGGTCAGTTACATCTCGAGCTGAAATCATGCAAGTTTTATGCGGTGACTATCGTGACGGATAGCGCTTTGGGGATCTTGCTCCATAACATGGCACGGAGTTGCACAGGCTACAGAACACAGACAACGGCACAGAGACACAAGCTCAGACATCTGTCTGCCACACTATCTGTATATGCTACATCTCTGTCACATCCATTGTATTTCATCCATTCACTCTCTGCTCTCCCACTTCTGCATTCTCGGGCTGTCTGAGGAAGTCCAGCGCACCGCACTCTGGACTGAGGCATGATGAGCACAAACAGCAACATGCAATTCCCTCGAAACCTTCATGCAATGCAGCCAATCACAGAAACACCTCAGTCCTTGTCCTCTTATGCTACCTCGCAGACATCTCTCACAAGAGTGAATGTTTCTTTCCATATCCACATCGTTCTCAAAACTTTTCTCTCAATTCCCTCTACATTGATGAGATGACAGGGGGGTGTCACCCTTAGCGGAGGGTCCAGGTTTGGCAGGCTCCCATAGGCCACAAAGAGCTGTAACTCAGGCGGGCAGTCTAGGCTCAATCTTCAAAGAGAGATCATAGAGTGTGTCCTCATCCATGGTCAGTGTTTTATCCAGAAGATACTGAGTCACCTGGATAAAAAAAAAGAAACATCAGGTACGTCAGCTATTTGTTATTTTGTAACAGAACCAGACGACAAGACAGCTGATGGGAAACTAAAAAGTACCTTGGCTTGGTGTTCTATCCTATAAGGTGTCTGCTGAAACTGTCGAATTTCTCGGATGATGTGGGATATCTGATAAAAAGTAGTGGAATTGAGACTGGTAAGAAGAAAAACCGATTGCAAATACTTGGATGATTTCCTTCTCATTTGTCTATTTTTTCTATACTTGCCATTCTCATTTTGGAAAAGTTAACAAGGCCTTCCTCAGTAAAATTTGGAGTTCCTTCCTCAATGAAGGCCAAGTCTGTTAGATACATTCCGAGGTATGGCACACATGGAGGGTTGCAGCTAGAGGAACAGTGTCACGGATTAGTATAAATTACAGTTTCAGAGTAGCTACAAGTATTCATTCATTTTTCTGATTTGTTGTTAGAAGACAAGAGCAAAGTCTCACTTTTTCAATGTCTCCCTCAGATTTTTAAATCTGCCCTCAGAGGAAACAGTCTTCTGCAGCTTGTCCATTAGAGCTTTAGTCTGGCCAAAACCACAAAACAGAAAACCTTTTTAAAGGCTTATGCAAAGAACACTGGACAAACAAGCATGTGATATTACATTTTCACCCAAGAATGGGGAAACAGGCAGACTGATGACGAAATTATTAAGCGGAATGCTAAATGTTGAACTGAAAAGCTTGTCTTTCCTCTCATGCACTAAAATATATCAAAACATTCCTATTTCACATCAAAGGATTTCTTTTATGCTTTACATGCTTAGATCAGTTGTGATAGTGACAAGTTGTGATGCATTTTATGTATAATTATTGAAATGTTGAAATGTTGCAAGAGTTCATGGACCAGTATTCAAACCTGTTTGCTGATTTTGGCCCAAGTCTTCTTCAAACGGTAGATGGCACTGCGATTGAGAGCAGATGTGATCTCCAGCACCCCATTGTAGTTGTTCAGACAGCGGCAGATGTCTGCCACAGCCACCCACTTCTCAATTGAGCTGGCTCTTGAGCCCACATCCGTATGGCTCATTATCTGGGATGCCACCAGGTTACTCATCTTCAAAAAAAATGTTTTAATGAAAATGTAGAAAGATATGTAAGCTAATGGTTCTTTAATGGATTACCCCAAAAATATATATACATGTAGAACCATGGAAAGAAGTTACATCATTGAAATGTTGACTTGTCTTCATGATATATGGCGTCCTTTCTGTCTTGTCCACCTTCATCCATCCCTGGCCCAGAAACTCTCTGGAAAAGATATGACAGAAACATATTATACATCAAAAACATATCCAGTAGTCACAAAGCTGTAATATTCGCAAAACCCTATCCCTTAAGGATCAAAACTGTAGTTACTATTGATTAGACTTAAAAACTAAAATAGGTGTATTGGTGTCTTAAAAGGTTATTTGGATTTGTCTATGTACATTTGAGGTTAAAAGCAAGATTTTTTAATAATGGGGTTGTTGTATTGTTGTTGTAATGGTGTTGTTGCTCCCTATGTTTTTGTTCAGCTTGACCGGAATCACAGTGAGGGAGAGTTTTAGGGGAGAACTGACTCATAAGGAATGCTCCTGAAGACGATGTGATCCAGCAAAGTGATCTGCTCTGCCAGCTCCATCGCGGAGAGGGTCTCGAAATACTCTGCCTTTGGACAGTCTGCCTAAACACACACATACAGGGACAACCATAAACCAACAAAGGCCCACCCTATAAGACAGGCAAAAATAACAAGGCAGACAAGCATCTCATAAAGAGCCTGTCTGTGAAGTAGATGTGTGATGACAGCAGAACCTTCTGAGAAGTGACAGAAAGGAGATGATGTATTAACCCACGCTGCCTGGAGGACATGACAGTGTAAACTGACTGAAGTTTTTCACATCTTACAAAAGCATCATATCTTTTTTTTTATACTTACTTACCATTAAAGCAAGTGTTCAGCTCAAAAGATTTATTTAAAAATGCCATTTGAAAATGAAAGGATCACACATTTGAGACTAAAATCTTATTTTTAAAGTTGCAACTATCTCACCATCTGTAAGATGTCTTCTATCCTCAACTGGGCATCATCCTGATCATCTTGAGAAAGGGCACTTAGAGATAGAATTAAAAGAATTAAAATCATGCAGAATAAAATACAGCAAATAAAAAGTTTGTTATAAGAGAAGAAGATGGGGAGCTTTTATGTTGTTTTAATATTGAGTTTTATGTTGATATGACTTGATGGTAGAAGAGTCCGGTTACTTTGAGCCCATGCTCAGTTTTTATTTGTGAATATGTGCGTGTGTATGCTGTACCTTAATATGTTGGCCGTAGCTTTTCTCTCCTGAGGCAGCAGGTCTGGATCTCTGAGCACCTCCTCCAGGAGGTAGATCACAGACATCTTCAGTTCCCCATTCATCTCAAAGTCCTAAACACAGAGAAAAAACTAATCTGATCTAATCAGAACAAACCAAGTTAAAAAATCTAAAACAATCAAACCAAACCCACTCCTGAGAGCACCTTCATACAAACACAGGTCAAGTTTTACAGCAATGACTTATGTCACGGAAAACATAACGCCAAGATTAAATCCAAACTTCAAAGAAATAATGAAGACTAATGGAAACAATTTTCAAAATCTAAAACTAACTGGTGATAGTGATTAAAGATTGAACAAGGATTCAAAAACCATGCAAAGGAAATCATATTTTAAAATCATAAATAGTGGTACAGTTAGCTATAATGGTTAGCCATAACAGTAAACTAAGAATATTTTAGAATTTTTCTCATCTAATAAATATCTGAGATATTCAACTCTTGTTCAAAGGTCAGATTTAACAAGGTATTTCTGTTCTTTAGTTTTCAGATGGCAAATGCATGTGCGTGGTTTGCTAAAATGACCACAATATTCCATGTGTGTTTGTGTGCATGTGGCTGTTTACATTTTCAAGTGAGAGCAGTGAAGCAAACAGAAAAAGCGTCAGTCACCTGTTTTAATGAGACCGCAAACATTAGAATGCAAGCATATCACACACTTACGCACCAACAAAAAAAAACATAAGCATGCACAAAGCAGTGGGCGGACACAGACCTGAGAGTGCTTGGAAACCCAGTGACGCAGCACATTGAGAACTCTGTTAGTCGCAGCCCTGCGGATGATGAACTCTTTATCACAGGTTCTCTCGGAGTTACTGAACACTGCAGGGAAATTAAAACCAAAGAAAACGGTTCCGTTCAAACTTCTTATGTATTAGGTACTGAGGTGACATTACCAAGCGACAACAAAACAAGACTAAGTTCATAGGTGATGGACTTAATGTAGAGATTGAACTGTTCAGTGGACAAATCTAAACTGGATATTTAAGAAAGGACAAACTTTGCTTTTTTTGGAGTCAATAAGGAGAGTGGCCATCTGGCTTGTTGACAAGATTCAAAAGAAAATAACCGTGATGGTATGAAGGTGCATTCGTGCACGTGGTATGAAGCGGTCTACTGCCATGAAGGCTACATTAACAGTGAACACCTTTTGGAGGACTTGCTCCTGTTATATAATGAAGGCGGTTGCAATCCCAATTTCATAATGAACAAAAGAGAATTTCAGATGTCAAATGTTTTGAATCTTAAATCTTCCTTTTACAAGAACAAGAAAACAAGAACTTGTGGATAAACAAGACGCAAACAAAACAAAAAAAGCATGAATATGGTATGACTACATCAGCTTCAGATTTGGTGTTTCACTCCAAATGAATGATGAACTTATGTGTTGTTTGATTAAAGGTCTCCAGTCTGTTGCAGTGGTTGTGTGTGTGTGGATATGTGTGTGTGTGTACCTGGTGGGGTACCATGTCCTGCTGCTGCAGTTGCAATTGCAAAAGCTGAGGCAGGAGAGACTGAGCAGCGTGAATTTTCCCCAGACTGGACTGCAGATGCACAGACACATCACTATCACCAGTGGCAACATTCTATTATCTGTTTTTATTGCTGTTTGCATCTGGGAGATGATGCAATCAAAATGAACTTATGTTTTAACATTGAAAACATAAAATTTCCGGACTACAAACATCATTTTGCACTGTGAGTCTTAACTGATGAAAGTTTTGATTTGATATCCTTTCTTCTTCACAGTGAACAGTGAAATGCTACGCTTCATTAATTGCCATTGGGTGATAATAATATCATTACAAAGCATTTGATTTAGTGTGAAGGGGAAAAAATCTATCAAAAAATATTATATTATGATATTTTGATCCATAAAATAAACCTTTCTCTAAATCTCAGTTCAACATTTCATTTAAAAAAAAATATTACATTTAACAATGAGATCACATATTTATTCTATATTATGTATTAGAATGGACTAAATTTGGGAGTTATGATATAAGTGTGCATGTATGTCTGACTAGGAGGGTTGTAGGGTTCTGAGGGCATATTGAATTTTGTTATTTGAAATTCTACAAAAGGATCCACTGAGAAAACATGGATCAAAACGCTGTTTGTACAAGGTGTGTTTATTTAGCTGATTTCCATAAGCTACTAAACATGTATAAAAGACAAACAGATGTAACAGAGAATATAGAAAAATACAGGCGAAATACAGGTGGAAATTTTTTTGATTTTCCTTTCATTGGTTGTTGCAGTCTGCACAGCCAAAGTTGAAATGATCATCATCCTATGTAACTCTGTTACATACTAATAAGACTCTTTAATTCCTTCGAGGTAGTTTGTTTAACTACCCCTGCTTTTAATGAAAACATTATTTGAGAGTAATTCTCCAGTTGTTACATATTACACAGCTTATGCCATAGCTTAGGGTCTGAACTGTGAGCTGCACTAAAGATGTCCCCCTCCAGGGTCTTGGCTTTTCTCCAGAGTTTGCCTCTACTGAGTAATCTGTATGTGGGCACCGCATTGCCCACACTGCAAAGGCCCCTGGGACTGTGATGTAATCTTGACTAATAAAGCACACAAACACAGATAAAGTTTTACCTCCGGGCTGTCTGTAGCGAAGGTGTCGTGGTGTGGACGGAGAGCGACAGGGAGACATGTCCCCCGCCTCACTGCTCTGTGGGGATTCTGGGTTGAATTTCTCCAGCGACACCGATTCCAGGACAGCTAGATGAGAAAAGAGAAGTGTAAGATTAGCAATAACAGTCACAGCTGTTAACCAAGGTAGTGGTCATCTATAGGACTCCTTACATCAATATAGTGAGTACAACCCGCGGGTAAAATCAAAACCTTTAGTCCAGCCCTGTATGCTGTCTTCCCGTCAGCTTTACATTAAACGCAGAACGTTTAAGAAAAGTAATTTACCTGTGCGACTTGCACATGCATTTATGTAAGATATCATGCAATTTTTTACAATTTCACTCACTCACTGGATTAGATTTGATTTTTTAAATCAATTTAACTTTTGGGCATGTGCTCAACACATGCATTTAACAGATAATAAACATAATCACAGTCTTTAATATATTCGTCCACATATTAATTTGGCTGTCTTCACAGGGGTCCACATACTCTACCTCTTTAGGATATGTCACCAGATGATTTATGCATATAATGTTGTATTGGTTATTTCTCATTATGTCCACATACACTACAGAGAGGAACTGAGCAAAAGGTAAACATCAACAGATACAAGCGGATTAAATATACTTACAAGTATCACACATAAATAAACTGAAAGTGCATCATGCACAGGCTTATTAGTGCTAGCGCTAATGGATTTTTGTCTTCTTGTAAGTTGAGAGTGCTATACTAGTGCTAGTGAGTCTAACTGTAGCTTGTCCTCGCTGTGCTGCCAGAAATGCCAGTCCCCTCTGGTCTTAGAGGGCTGTCAGAACTCTGCCATTAGAAGATCTGAGTGTCTGTGGTAAGGAGTCAACTTAGAAGATTCAAGTACACAAAGAAAAGGAGATAATGATGTCCCATAAGACGACTTCACTGCTTGTCTAGGGACCTTTTTACTCTGATGAGTGATCTCAAGTTCATCATAAGCATGAAATTTCACTGACGAAAGCTTACACGTGCCGTAGGAGATCAGTCAAACAAAGGGCTTTTATGAGATTAGACAGACAAAAAATACCTACACATTATCCAAAAAAAACATAGCAGGGTAAGACAACCTATTGATCGCAGAGTTGTATTAAAGGCTGACAAAGTTTAATCTTTATGAAAAATCTCGATACGGCCTATGGTGCTTTGACCGTTGCAATCTGAGAAACATGAATACTTGGACAAACTTTAACAGAAACTTTCTAAGGGAATTGTGTTGTTGCAGCAGGATTTCGAGAGGTATTCAAAGATCTAAATGTTTTTCATTTTTGTCCAGAAACGACAACATACTTCTGCGAATGCTCCGTCGCAGCTTCCCACAGAAAGGGTCAATCCTGGGCACTTCCTCCCCCTCTCCTGCTGGGCAAGGACTCTGGTCGGGCGATGACGGAGTGGGAGGAACTTGCTCTTGCACTGGCTTGGAGATGTTAGGTGGGGGAGAGGTGGAAGACGGAGGTGGAGGAGAGGTAGCAGTTGGAGTTGGGGTCTGAGGTGTTGGAAATGGAGGTGTGTTTGCAGAGGTTGGGCTACTGGTGGCAGATTGGGAAGCGTTGTGGTTAATGATTATGTTGGACAGAGGACTGGTCAGGTCAAGGCCTCCGACCCTTGCAGTGATTGGGGAGTGGAGGGAAAGCTTTCGAGTTCGGACAGGAGAAGAAGTGCGGGAAGCGATAGACAGTGGTGGTGGAGAGGAGAACTTGCGGCAGATCTGCGGTGATCTGTCATTTATGTGTTCACCACTTCTATTATTTTGATTGGTGGCGAAAAACAGCTCCAATGATCTGAAGAAGAACAGCAATGTATTAGCAAAGCGACAGGATATTAAAAAAGCAATAAAGAAAGACGACAGGGAATACGATAAAAAAGTAAAAGGATATTGCAACAACTCAGCAGAGGACCTTGCTTGTCTCTATATCTAATTATAAAATGCTCATTAGCAAGGCGACTATGCCAGACAGTTTCCCTCAAAAGATGATAATTGTTTGGAGTGGGGTCAGAATGCTAGACTATGGTGTTTTCTCACATTCTGGTCATACCAGGCAGAAATAGGAAACACTGGATGAGCCTAAGGCATTAATATGTGGGTTTTTTTATTATCAAAGTCACTAAAGTGGGCACATTGTGTGGTCAAAGGGTGTTACAAAATGTCAAGTTTGTATTCCATCACACTAAGCTAAAGATAAAACAACATTTTTAACAGAACTGTATGCATTTGTGCAGCCAGAATGATTTTCTGGTTTGACTAAATTGCAGTCACATTAAACAGATGAACATGAGTCCAATGCAGCGCCGCTGGCACAGAGAACCATGATCACATTATATGGTTCCCTTTGGCCTGCTGTAGGTGCCACGACACCTGTCTGCAACACCAGTGTTTGAGGTTAATATTCTAAGTAGTGGAAATGTTAACATTAGCAACAGGTGCAGCAAGTAAGGACCTGGGTTGATCTTTCTTTAGAAACAATTTAATTTTGGCTGTTTGCCAAATGAGTTAGTAATTTGTGAAAGTTATTTTAACGTTATTATTACTGTTACTGGCTTATTGTTACTAGCTCTTGGATTAGAATTAGCCACCTTAGCAGGTTTAGTTTTGGCAACAAAACTGATTAAATCCAATAAACAAGATGACCTGTTTAAGCAAAGAGAAAGGCTTGGTTAGTGTTATAAAAAGATAAAGGTTTGTCCAAAAAGACATTCTTATAGTATTAACAAAGAAGCTATGAGTGAAAATGTTTATACATTTTGGAGATGATTATAAACTTAGAAACGGAAATAATATTTATAAGAAAAATTGGCACATTTTGAATGCCTTATTTTCTTGATGATTAAATTGTAAAAGCTTGAAAACATAGACATTAATAACTTACAGCATATGTCAAAAGCTAAGGTAAAGAAGAAGAAATCATGCATAGATTAACACAGCTCTCTTATTCAGCAGTAAATGGATTGAAAACTGCAATCCTACAAAGAAAAATGAAGAAGGGGAATTAAAGGCTAGGGGAAGGAAAGATCCATGAGAATATGATGTACTGGAGTAAGCAGCTAGATAATAGGATGCAAACTGACAGAAGAGGACAGACGAAAATAAATCAATATATATTATAGAGCACAAAAAAGCTAAAGGACACTACAGTGACAAAGCAGATCCACTGCATCTTTTCTATTTCATTCACCAAAAGATTCCAAACGGATGGCTCTAAGGACCAAGAGACTAGTTCATATAAAGATTTAGACAGGCTAAGAATAGGCGAGCATCATGCATGAGTTTGGTATCAGCCCATGACCAGATAAGAGAAGGGATAGACAAGAGCAGTGAGACGGAGATGAAAAAAGGGAGGGCAGAGAGAGAGAAGACTGGTGTTACTTGGACTGATCGATGGCTATCTTCTTGATCTTCAGACTGTAGTCAGGACAGATGGATGATACAGACAGACGGTCAAATGAGTGGTACTGCGCCCTGGAGTTGGGAGGAACATAAAGAAACGAGATAGATGGATGACACAAAAAAATGACTGAAGGGATGGGTGTGGTGAGTGGATTGAGGCATGAAAAAGCAAGTTGAGGATGTGTTAAAGATGGTAGATGTTAGGGGGGGAAGATGGTGGAATTTTGGTGGAGAGAAGTGCCGGTAGAAGGATAGGGCATGGTGAGTCGGAGAGCAGAGAATAGTTTTTTTTTTTTAATAAGTTTTCTATAAAAGGTTTCCAAACTTTGATTCACAAAATAGTTGCTGATGTCACAATGCCAACTTTAATCTATTTTATACAGGCCGATGTGCAACATCGAGCAGGGTTGCTTACAGTAAGTGCTGAAAGGAATCGTGAGGGTGGCTCTGCAGTGTAGTAAAATTGAAAAAGCAAGGAAAAGCACTTGCATCAAAGAGGACCTTGAGGAAGATTTTGATTCAATTTGAGTCCTTTGAAAACAACAGAAACCACCACGGTAAACAGGAAACATTTGTCAGATATTGTAGTCCTATACACAAAAACAAATAAAAAAGCAGCAGAACTGTTAGAGTACGTGTTTCCTGCACAGTGCTGGCCATCTGACCATGTAGGACAAACTCAGAATCTTTTAGAGGAGGTAGAGCCATGTCACTATTCAAAGTACATGGCACAGTATTTGGTAAATGTAGACATTACCTCAGACATATAGTAGATTTCGTAAGTCCAGTTTCTAATATTTAACTTGTCTAAAAAATGAAGACAGGCCATTGTTGATTCATCCAGTGTTTCTCCACTGCTCCTTCGTGGAAATCAGCAGAGAGTTCTGTTCACTTTTTGCCCAGAGGGACAGAAGGTAATCTGTATGCTCCTTGAGTAAAATCGTGTTATCTAGCAGACCTTATAATTCTAACCCTTGCAAGTTAATCTTTTGGGGATCCTATATGTCTTCATTTACATTGCAATCGAGCCCAGAGTTGCTGTAATGCCGTATAATTCACATTACTGAAAAACACTAAAATTCTACTACACTATTTTCTTTTTAAACTTTGCCCTTGGGTTGAGGAAAAAGCAAAGTTTGTCCAGTTGAAAGAACTGTGGTGTACGTGTAAGGAAAATGAATGAACTCTTCCTCTAACGCAGCCAGAGAACTAATCAGAGAGAAAGAGGAGCCTCATCTAAAACATAACATACTCCACTGATGGTGCCAAAAAACTTTGTCAAGGCATCTGTTCTGTTGGCCCCTCAAACACAGAATATGTGTATTTAAGCTAGTGTGTGTTTAACCTCGTGGACAGACATAGAAGCTGCCTGCCAAATCCAAAGCACTCAATAATATCTTACTTCCTTATTCACATACTCTTAAATGGTGGGGATGCTGATAAATCCCTCTCATTCATATCTGTATGAGTGTGAGTGCAAGACTGATGGGAACAAATGTGTGCCTCAGCTCTTTTCTCTGTTTGTGAATGCATTTTGGCATGTAAGAATATAAAGACCTGATAGGTATGGAGGAAAATGGCTTCTTGTAGATGTCTGCCAGTTTGTCCATGACCACTGACGCAGTGGTGAAGATCCTGTATGTGTGCAGAAAGGTGTTGAGGAAGTCTATGGAGAGGAAGCGCAGGTCGGTCAGCCTCTCCAGCAGCCGCTCCACGCTGGCATAACGGATCTGGGGGACCTTGCAGGAGTTGAGCGTCTTGCTGAAGCAAATGTCAACATCATCTTTATGGAGGCGCACATCGGATCTGATGGATACACACGTACACACACAGACACACACAACCACAGGCGGGTGACTGCTGGGCAGCTAAGCAAGAAAAGGTTTATGAATGTAGCTTAAAAAAATAACAAATCAAGCTAAATTAAGAGAGAGAACTTATTACAGAACCTGCATCATTCAAAGTAAATGCATGATTAAAAGAAAGAAGCATAAAACATAACACTTCATCATTAGGTAATACATCCAGACTTTAAATGCAAGTAAACGGAGAGGATGTAGTTTCAAAATAGTTCCAAACATGTATTATACGATCTCTAAATGAAATAGTGTGTGCAATTTTGAGTTCTCACACGTAGAGGCTTCCATTAGATATCTATATAAAAACAAGTTTATATCTGATAGTCAAAGTCAATGTTAATATTATATATTTAGATATTAAATGTTACAGATTGAATTATTGCCATAAACAAAAGGCCTGAAAAAGAACTAAATGTCTCAAAATAACGTTGACAGTTTTTATGTAATTAACTGATATCTTACAAAACAGATTTAGTTCTAAGGACATTATATATCCTACATTTTAAGCATTTAAGTTTACTCTCAGATGATAAGATGTTGGTTATCTGTGCATTAAAATGAAATTATATGTTAATTCTTTAGTCTATATATAAGATAAAACCACGTGTTCTAAGTCATGAGATGTTCTCTCTCATATGTTCCATTTTCCTTACTGTGTTTTGGAAAGTTGCACAGGTGTATGTCTCACACATTTTCCTGTGAGACAGGACCGGATAGATTCAGTTTTGAAACTATTGCCTCTTGACATAAAGGTATGGCATTCACATGTATTTTGCAACAGGTGCAGAGCATGAGGAGATGGGTGTTCTTCTTCACTAGCACAAAAAAACTTACTTGATCATGTGAGGCACAGTGACTTTGGAGTTTTCCTCAAACACACTGGTCATCAAGCCATTACAACGGATATTATCTATGCACTACAGAAATGGATAAGAGAGACAACCAATGAGATAAAGGAAGGCATTAGAGTATGAGAGGTGACGATAATTATATTTGTGTATCATGTTTTTAATCTTGAGCAGATAAAAGGTGAGCTTAATAATGTAAAACATGCTGATGTTAGATTGGTTTGTATGCTCAATTTTCACAAATATAGACATCTCATTGATAAAGAAAGAAAACTGACAGGAAAAGGAGCCATTTGGCATTGTCTCTGTTTTGTATGTTTTTGTTTTTTATGACTGGCAAGAATTAAACTCGTGTGATATGCTTGTCTGGTGTGACTGTGCTTGAAAGGGACAGAGACAGTGAGCAGAACTCAACCCTGGGGAAGTGCATGACAGTCTGTGTTTACTTATTACCGAGCCTTCTCAATGCCCAGCGGAGACATACCCCTGCTATTTGTGAGTTCTTGTTATTCTGTGTTTATCTGGCTGTGTGTTGGTGAGCGTTGTGCGTTACCTGGCTAATATCACTGGTCCATGCGGCCTTCTCCTGCCGCGATGGTGCCAGTAGCACCACAGTAAATGAAGATGAGTCTGAAGGCTCCACCACCAACTTAAAGTCAAGTTGACCAAACACTTGACCACCAGATTTAGCTGCATTGGAGAAAATATGTTCATTTTTCAGTATGAAAGAACATGGTGATTATATGAAAGTGAGATACTTGTGCTGAAGCACACATGCACACAGCAGCACTGAGGGTTAATTAAGCATACCTGCTTTCTTTTCAGTGTTCCCCAGAGGCTTAAGTGTTAAAGTGAATGTAAGTATCCAGATAAATCACCCACTCCCTGTATATATGTGTGTTGTTATAAGTCTCCCTCACTGTACAGTGAATATTTGGGGGAAGAAAATTCTTATGGGCCTTAAATGTTAAAGATCCAAGCATGACATTTAAAAGGTTGAGATATTCTCTGATATTTAAAAAGGGAAGTCATTTAGGGACATTTATTGTTTGACACTTAATTAACCTCTTTCAGTGGTGAAGAATCTTGCCAACACAAGAACCTTGTGTTGACAAGGTGTACACACGCTTTTTATATATATATATGCACATATATGTATGTAATAAACTCACACTCCTCATCATTGGCATCTGGTTCCTCTATTAGAGTGCAGTCAATAAGGGACAAAACCCCACCTTGCTGGAAGAGTAAAAAATGTATTTACATCTTTTTTAAGAATGGCAAAGGGTATTTTTTCTCTAAATATACTACCTAGGTAAGAATGTTCTCACCTTAAGAAGGTGTAGTTTCCCCCCAGAGCTGCGAGTGCAGACAAGGAAGTGTTTGGTAAAGAGAAAGCACTGCCTTTCCCCTTCTTTCTTCAGTGACAGAGATCCCAGGCGGACCTTGCTGAGTTTCCCTCGTTCCACTGACGGCAGCTGGATCAGAGAGCCTGTTGAGCAGGATTAAACAACATTTCATAAATCTGACACTAAGCTGTGGGCTGTGTTTGTAGTGGCAAAACACGGTGGAAAAAATTAGCATTCCTGCATACAGCTGAACATATGCACATTACTGTACTTCAGTCCATGAATCTTGCTGAGGAATAAGATTTTTAAAAAGAGGTGGATATCGCAAAACAAAAAAAAAAAATTCAGTTTTGTGGATAAAAAAATGGTGATCAGTAGAACTCACGCAGGGTCAACAGTAATGTCTGGATTTCCTCTGTTGTGTGAAGAAAATCACAGTCTTTCTCTGGCATAAGGCAGCTTATACATGGTTAACTAACCAGCAGGTTGAAGCACTATTACAAACATTGATAAATGAATAACAATAACAAGTAACCAGGTCCTATTATGTAGGACCAAATAAAAAACCCCAGCGCACCACAACCAAATAGTAAACCAAATTTGAACCACAACCAGATAGTAGACCAAACTTTAACGGGGCAGACTCTTGTTTCACAGTAGCTCACAAGAAGTTTTGGTGACCACGATCCAATAAGGTATTCTGCAAATATCGCAAGCTGACAGGGGAAGGCATCTTACAAAGGAGCATTTTGTGGCATAGTGCTGATGAAGACTCACCCTGCCTGACGAAGGTCTGGCTGGTGTCCAGCAGGATATCACAACCCTCGACTATCATCCTCTCTATGGCCAGATTCTTCCGTATGTTTTCTGTGTCACTCACTTCATCATGCATTACTCTGAATACACGCAAAGATACAAGTTACTATCAATCACTATCAGTTATATATAAGTCACTATACAATAATAACTATCAGGATAACTGGAAAAATGCGGTAAATCTGACAAATACCTGGATAATTCCTCTAATTTGGATTTAGCAAATTCCAGACTCTTGCGCTCCACATGCTCGTGAGGTGTGTGTGCCAGGAGTTCATGTAGGGTGATGATATAGCGAGGTATCTTGTTGGAGAAACGAAGATTGTGAAAAACTGATTGGGAAATGTACATACAGATGGCGGTTTGGTTATAATATGTTTGAAAATCCTGAAGCGGTCAGTTGCTGGTGGTCTACCTGGAACATGGGGTAAGTAAGGAAGGTCTCCAGCATCCTTCCCTCACAGGCAGCGTTAGACTCGTACTGTTTCAGTAGCTTGTCAAAGTCTCTGTTCTGCTTACAGTTGGCTAAAACCTGCAGGCTGTACTGGTGGTTGCGCACAAACTCCTGGTAGATGTTTAGCATTGGCAGCAGAATGTCAAACAGGTCAGCTGAAAACAAGAATACACATTATTTAGCAGTCCAGAAACCCATCCCAAAGAGGTTTGACATGAGCTGTTAGTCAAAGAATTTTGACCACTGCCAAATTTTTGTTTAGTTTTTTGGCTTTTGATGCTTATACACTGCAGATGTCTGCATTTCAGTTTAATTATCTGTGAAGTGGCACTGATGATAAAACTTGTTTCTGTTGCAATTGAAAAGTTACAATTTAGAAAGTACAACCTTTTTAGGACCTTTCACATCATTTAATGGTAAAAACTCAAAACCCTGTTTTTACACAATAAGATATACCTGATAACAGTGGGCAGAATCCTACTAGACAATAATCTAGACTTAATATATGATGGATATTAAAAAAATAATTTCTGTTTATTTTTTTCATATTATGTTAGAGGGCCCAATGAAGACTTCAAACCAAAAAAAAAATGTTTTTTTTTTTCTTGGATCAAGCCTTAAAGGGTCAATTTAAGGGGTGTTTAATTGTTCATATTTTTAAGCTTGTTTTGAGATAAAACTTCAAAGTCTGTGTGCTTTTTTTGCCTTTATTACATGTTTCTTTTCCCCAGCATGTGGTTGGGCCATTCTCTGATGTGTTCTGGTCTTGCTGATTAATGACTGTCAAGATAATGAAAATCTGCTGGTTGTAGAACAAGATAGGAAAATGAATAGGGGCGATGACGTCAATAGTGACGTCTGGATGAGGCAATCTAGATGCAGAGAATCACCGAAAACTTAGCGGGTTCAGGGAGTGTGAACACAGCATAAAACATGTAGCTAGTGCCTTATGTGAGGTCACAGTAACAGCTTACCCAGCACCAGAGTTGGCCAGTTGGCTATCCTCGCCTTCAAGCCTTGATGGAAAATCTCATGTAGGAACATGATGGTCTCACTAAAGCCACATTGTAAACAGTGTGAAAATGGAAATTAAAAATAAGGCTTTTTCTCCTTTGCCAGAATCAATCAGCATCCAGCACAGCTGAGATTTAGAAATTTGTCTAAAAGCAAAGATAGTAAGACAATGTTGTTTTGAATAATACATTTGTAAACACGTACCTATTGAGGAAGATGCTGCTCACGTCGTCATGACTGATGGGGGGTTTCTTGGAGCTTGCAGCCATTCTCAGAGGTCGAAGGAAACAGTTGACCAGGATATAGAGCTGGTGGACATACCTGTCATCACAGACATATACATGTCAATGAAAAATCACAACGTATGCTTTGACAGATACATACCAATTATTCCCCATAAATGCAAAATTAATGTGATTGATAATATTTAATAACGTAACATGCTCAATTCTGTCAAATAGAAGTACATGAACTTTTAATGAAACCGTGAATTTGCAATAGTTGCATGTTATTCTAATTGTGTCATTTCATGCTAAAGTCAAAGCCATCTACAAGCCATTACAATATCTCAAAAAGATCAGTGGACTATATGTGTCGAACAATGTAGAGCTGCAAGATTTAAATGCTTCCTTCTGGGGAAATATGTCAAATTAATGTTCTAAGTATGCAGTTTTGCAATCTAAAGATTGTGTTTTAAGACTGAATCTTCACGCTATTCAGTGTGAAATTGCAATGTTTTAAAACACTGTACTCTAGTTGCAAAACTACTGCTCTTTAAAAAAAAAAAAAAAAATATTCAGACTCTTGAATTTGTTGGACTTGCAGCTTTTTTGACATGTGACAAACAACGACCGTTTGTGACATGTCACATGCCATATACCACTGCAAACTGCTTTCATAAAAAGCACCCTGGGTCTCAACTCTTCAGTGCTCTCTGCATAATCTTGCATCATTTCCTTTCCAGCTACAGCTCATTATATACCATTACAGCTTAACTCCAGATGATAACCAGCAGGAGAGCTGGTTGTTCTCAATTATATTTGGATTTCATTTAGCCAAAATAACTTTTTGAGATTCATCTAATTAAATACAAGGCAAGGTAAATTGCTCATTCAGGCCTACCGAATCAAGTTACTTCAGCAAGATTACAAAAAATAATAATAATTAGCTCCTGTATTTCCATAGTTAGATAACAATGCTGTAATGACATACTTCCTACAGTGTGTGCTGCCGCTCTAGGCAATATGTATTTACATACTCTGTCTCTGCCTCAACCATATTGAAGACGATCTGGTTCCTCTTCCTCATGCTCTCAGCGTGAGGAGAGCAAATGTAGTCCTGAACAATAATCTTCCACTTCCTGCGACAAAGCCAGCCCCGCATGAAACTCTGCACCTGTGGATACAAAGTTTAACAGCAGCAGGATACAGGGAAACTGAATGAAAGGGGAAAGAGAGAACTTATTATGTACGTACATGCTTGCAAAAGAAAATGATTTAGTTACCTTTTTGATCTTTTTTATATCAGGGTCTTCATTTTCTTGGTAGACATGATATGGCCGCATCCGCTCCTTGGTTTTGTTCAGAGCTACAATCTGAGGAGAGGAAAAATAAGTTAAAATTTGGGCATATTTGTTATTCTCTCAAATACTGATAAAACAAATTTCCATTCACATAAGGGGTCAGATGAAAGTCGGTCCTCATCACCTTAATAAGAAAAAAACTCAAGTATCTTATTCTGAAACTGTATTGATAATGATTTAAATGAAACTATTGACATTTCTAATACACGTCTGAAGATTCAACACTGAAAAAAACACTAGCTTATTTTGCATTCCTGCAATCACAGTAGTTTTGTTTGTAAGTCCTTTAAAAAATTGGTATGAAAAAATACTAGTAGAATACATTAAATATAAATATGTGCTATTCATGACACTCAGAGATCTAATTTACAACCATCACCTTACTGACGACAAAACTTAATCATGGACATTTACTACTAAATCAAATAACTGATATGTGTTGAGTGTGCAAAAACAAACAGATTGTTTTCAGATAAAATGTGTATTGTGAATGAACAGATTTTTAAAAACTTTCTTAATTGACTACTTTAGCTGAATGCACAGTTGTCTTGTGGTGTTAAGATTTAGCTAATTAAACAAAGGTATCATGTTCCCACTTCCAATAAGCATCCCTAAACTTGAAAAAACTCTAAATTCAGTGTGTGTGTGTGCTCAGTGAAGTGTGTTTTGAACAGATAATGATCAGACTTCCTTTTCATTGATTGAGCAGTGCCTCTGTAGTTCTCTGACTGGCTGTAAGCAAATTAAGTCTTTTGTGTGCATTGTGCGACACAAACAGCATAAGGCCGCCACGCTCTGAAAGACTCCGTGGAAAAGGATAATTAGTGTTAAACTGTGTCCAATTTTAGAAAATTTTTGAGCCTTTAATACCCACAGAGACAGGGCCTTATAGGTCCTTACACATTTACTGATGGAAAAAACAAAGTTCTGGTCAATTGAGCGAAGGTACATAAATATTCAATCAGAAATCTATCACAGAATGAAGCGCTGCACGCAAAGTCATTTACAGCCACACTTTCCTTCATTTGGGATGTTACTAGAGGGCAACAGAGACGCCAGGGGCTGACTGTTACAGTGGATAGTAAAGTAGGTTTAATTATTGATGAATACCAATTAACAAACACACAAACAAACAAAACATGTATGTTTTACAAAGAAGGACCCCAGCTGTTCACTGGCTCTTCAAGTTCAATCCACATATTTGGAGCAGCCCACTTACACAAACAGATGCTTCCTAAAGTAAAATGACTTTATCGTAAATTCATTCTCAGCCAGACCCACTGTATCCCGCCAACAAGTTATTATCCCAGCATGCAGTGGGAAAGAAAATCCACCACACTTGTTGCTTCCGAGGAGAATCGCAACTGTGAGCACATTATTTCCTCCCAAAGACTTAAATTGCATTTGCAAGTCAGGGGTTTATACAAGCTATTATTGACACAAATGAACAGAGACAGAATTGGAGGCAACGGTGGAGGTGTGATTTATGGTGAAGTTAACAGCTGCCCCACAGAGCATCCCCTAAGGACAACTGGTGCTCAAAACAGATCCGTCTAGTCTCTCCATATGAAGAAGAGCTTTTTGGTGCCAACACACTATGTACACAGCTAATCATAGCAGTCAAGTGACGGAGGATAAAAGTGAGCCATTCCATGGAGATAACTGTGAATTAAGTTTTACAGAAATACAGTACATGCTATGTGCTACCTGAATCTGTTTACATGCAAATGAATTGTCATCCTAAAATATGTGTTTAGTTTTTAACTATATTGTCCCAACTAGTTTGCAGTTCTATATGTTCACTTTGCCAGTTTGGTGGTCTAGTAATTTAACAGTAAAAACACAAGTTGGAGCACGTATTGTCCCTATGAGCCTTCCCTGACTGGCTCATTGTCAGACTTAATTGTTCCACTATAAAACATTTACCAGACAGGCTCTAAGCCATAATTCTACTATTTTATGGCCACTAGTCTTGTCATGGTTGTTCAGGTCTGCTGGCCTGATGGTTCTGACTGTTGTGAGGATAAGCTGTAAGAATGGAAGAATTTAATCTTCACAGCCACAACCCCTGAATAAGCTCTTCCAGCATGATAAGCAGGCCCATACAATGCCTGTTGTTAAATTCCATTTAACGCCCATCTTTTAACATCCACAACAGGGTTCTCGTCCTAATTCAATTCCAATTAGCATTATTGAGTTAGTGCTCAGCGTCCCATCACATTTATGTTAATTCATATGCATTTTTCTACCAGTTTGACGGTGATGTCAGGAGTCAACATCAAGTAAGATCACCTCGTGTTTGCTCAGCAAAAAAGCCCTATTGATCTAATTGAAGCAAACTGAAAATATAACACATTTTTTCCGTGTGAGAAGAAAAAAAGAGAGACTTCTTCTGGTTAACAACACTGGAAGGGGTCTGCTGTGTTTTATGTGAGAGCATGAACATGTGATTTATGGTCTAATGACAGCAGCACAGAAGAGCTGCTTGCGAGAGGGTTGATGGACCATCTTTATTGAACGCTGGGCTTCTCCTCCCACACTCTGTGTGACTGAGCACTGTTCACACCCACTTCCTAACCACAGCCATGGCAAATCACACACACACCAACGGCGAACAAATAACTATGCGGGTATATATGGGTATATACATATGCTTCTTCTTGGATCCTTCATGTGATTCATGACAGGAGAGTGATCATAGAGTTGTGTGGGCAAGTTGTTGAGTGGCTGAATATAGAAGGCGAAAGAAATCTAAAAAAAATAAACAGTATGTAGACATTTCAGTGTTTAGAATTGTCAGCATGTGCACATATTCATCCATTCAAAAATAGTTTATAGCAACAAACAAATCTAGTGTAGATCTACAAGTGGTAAGACAGATTTTTTTGTTTATATGCTCACTTTCTAGTTGCAGGAAAGTGTTATCCAGTCTGATAAAACCGCTGACATACAGAAAATTGTCTGCATGGTCAAACATCGGTGAGACAATATCAATCAAAATATGAGGCAAATCTTGAAGCATGTAGCATTAAGGTATCAGAGCATGACCAGTCCAGGGTCTCTACCCTGCCTGTAGATGTGTGGATTGATGGTGTATGTGCAGGTTTGTCTACGTATGACGTACCTCTGATTTGAGCCTCTCAATTTCTGTGTCCTGGTCCTCCAGCTGAGTTCGCAACTGATTGGCAGCCACCTTCTCAGTCTCTACAATCTGCACTAGGTGGATGTATTTCTGCATCAGCACCTCTCGTTCAATTATGATGTCAGAATAGCTAAAAAAAAGAAAGAAGAAATGCAATAAGCAGAAATCTTTTGCATAAATAACAACCTATAAACCTTCAACAATTGTATTACCATGGAAAAGTAATACAACCCACCCAACACAGAAAACATGTGCTTCTTGATGTTGTACATTACGGCAAAGTGATGAAAAAAAGGATCTGATTTAAATCTTAGACTCATTATATTGTTCAAAATATAGTCCCAAAAATTACAACTGGCAAAAATAAATATTGCAAGCACTAATATGCTCTGAACTTTGTGATATATTAGTGAACCTGAAATATGACTAAAACCAGAAAGCATCACAGTGAAAATCATATGACCAAAGTTACATGGGTAAAAACAAAAATGTTAAAAGGTCAACGTGAATTTAAGTACTGCGACATAAATTGAGATTTGAGGCCTTTATCTGACGGATTTGTATTGTATCTCGATAATATACAAACATTTTACGTCACCTCTGCTTTCAAACATCTTAAATGGCAGAAGCCAAATAAAAAACACAAAGCTTCAGATCAGTCCCCTAACAAATAGCCTAGAGTAAAGTAAAGCTCATAAAAAAGGCTTTACAGTCAAGTACATTAATGAATGATAATTAACAGTGTGCACAGCCACCATAAATTAATCTGAAATCCTGCAGTTTGTTGTGACCATGTATTTCCCGTCAAAACAAAAGATCTGGAGAATCATAATCTGTCTCTGTTGGAAACACTGTTGATATATTGTGTTGAGTATACCTTGCCTGCTGGATGGCCTCGACCCATTCGTCACACTCATATTCCTCTTCTGTTCGCAGCTCCAGCGGTTTCTGACCATCATGCCCAAACACAATGAGGAAATAGTGCTGAGGAGACAGATAAGGAAAGAAAAGTGTTTAGAACTGTGATCATCAGGACAAAAGCTAATATGTAAATGGTAATACTGTCAACAGATTCTTGAAATAAAAAATGCTTTTTATGCTCCTGCTTCTCTCAGATTGATTCCACATAAAGTTCAACGCCTGTGCGAAGACAAGTGGAAAACAAGATGAATGAGGGTTGGTGGCTCAACATAATCATTTGCTCGCTGAAATAAAACATCAAGACTCGCCTGTGCCTCATTCTCCACCAGCACATTATCATCACCATCAATTAGCCTGCTCTCTGTGATTCTCTTCCCTCTTTATCGCATTTCCGCCTGTCTCTCTTATTATCCTGATCACTTTCCATGTAAATCTGCCCTAAACACTTTCCCACACACAGACACGTGCCAGCACATGCTGTATAGTACAGTAGAGCACGCACACACTAGGTTTATGTGAAGTGATAGAGGCTTTTATTCAAATGCTCATGTCCTGGAGCACTGGGTTACCAGAAGAGCCGCTATTATTAGTGAAGGAAAACAGAGAAGACTGAACTCTGCGTGGACTTTCTGTCCTCCATTACTCTTCTCCTCGTACATCCACCAAATTCCTCCTCCCTCTCGCTTTGCACTTCACCTACCCTCCCACTCCACCTCCTCTGCCCTGCTCAACCAGCACCCTCATTTCTCTTGTTGTCGAAACCCACTCCTCCACCATCTCCACACCACTACATATTTTCATCTCTTTGTATCTTCCTCTCAGTGAGAATTCAGTGAACCAAATGTAGTCCAAAGGAGATATATTTGCCCTGCAGCAGGATGGGTAGTTGGAATGGGCTAGGGGCTGAAGAAGAATTATTAGAACTAACACTCACTAGAAAAACCCTTCCCCACTCCCATCTCCATCCTCCCATCCATGTCTTTTTTATTTATCTGTCATTATAGGTCTCTGCTTTGCCGTAGTTTACTAGTCAACAAGAATCTGGGCCTTAAAAGTCTTTGACGTGGATGGAAGAAGATAGGGAGCTGTTACATAACATTTCTTAACCGAGTACATTTTTCTAAATTGTGTCACCACCTAACAAGAGATTTCCATGGCAACCCAACATCTGATGCTTCCGCTGCATTTTGCTCTTTCATTTTCTGCTTTTTGGTGCTGCCTCCATTCATTAATTCCTTTTATGGGTCCATCATGCAGTCTCAACATTATAAAAAAATCCTGAAGACAGAATAAAAAGCATTTGCTAATGCAGATTTCAGAGGACAGATACATGATCTGCATTATATAGACGGGGAGATAGAAGGTTTACTTTCATACATTTGCATAAAATATTTAAAATGTGTCTTGAATCTGGGCTACCTTTTAAAGCCTCATCAAAATGAACACACTCAAGCATACATCTACATTAAGTTGGAATCAGTTTTCCTTTTTTAATTACATCTACATCACACAATATACTTTGTAATACCAGTATTAAAATTGAATAGAAGCCATTGGACCTTTGGGCCATTGCAGAATTCAACACTGACCCACTATAGTGTGCGTTCATTAACTAAGCTTGAATTTTCATTACTGGCTTAACATTGGTTACTCCAGTGGGGGCACTGTGAGAGTGCCACATATCTCCTGAGTGTCAGTACGACTCTCCTAAAAGTGTACCTGCCTCTGCCCAACTCTGCAGTGACATTTAGGACCTCAATATTGGCTCAAATGATCCTTCATCCCTCAGGTCCTTTTTGGTACTGAAGGAAAATCCATTTAGGCTAACACAAACAAAGAATACAAGTGAGAGAAACAAGGAGAGTCTTTTCCCCATCTTGTTCTCTTCATGTTGCAAACAACCCATTTAATCTCACTTAAAGCTTTTTTTCTTGCACTTATTGCAGGAACAGCTGTCATCTAAGAGCACAACTGGTACAGAATGACCTAAAGGAGAGTGAGGAGAAAGCCCATAATTCAGTTGCAATTTCATATTATTCATTTTAAATCTGTTTGTTGTCTGAGAAGAAGCGAGAAGCTTTGTGATAGAACAATCAAATATTTTTTTACAGGTTCACAAGAACTGGCTGATGGGAAATAAAACCTGCTGCACATAGACACCCAGGTTCATTAACTGAAATATTCTTTCTTTTTGACATTGTTCGGAGACTCATTGATTGAAACTGGACCTTGAGGCTGTAAATACACTTAGCAGAACTTGGCAGGGGCCTGCAGAAAGTCTCATCTGTGCTCAATATTTAAATGTAGAGATGGCAGATGATCTCTGTCGGCATCCATTGACTATTATTATAAGAGACCTGAATATCCAGTAATGATGCAACACCACCGTCTGCTTTGGTATCTGCCCTGATTACAGACCAACCTGCACTGTCATGTACCACAGATGGGTGTTGTTGTGCTCACTGACTAACGCTTCCTAAAACGACCATCATTGTACCGCTCTGTGATTCACCTCAGTAGAAAGAGGCATGAATGACGAGTGTGTTTCAAGAAATGATACGCGTTTTAGTTAAATGTTGATACATAACTGAAAGGCTTCATATATTGTATTTGCACACTTGCACATTTTTGTTGACAATCCATTAAATGCACGAAAGAGGCTACATGCATGAAATCATGCAGGTGCTTTACAGTCCTTTGAAAGACTAATGCACAGTAAAAGGTTCACACTCTGCAGCATTTTGCTTATGGGTTTATCGTTTCATGGTGGTTTCAAGTAAAGCTGCCTTTCCTCAGCTTAAGGTACAAAATCCACTTTTAATAAATCTGACTTGGGAGAAGCTAATGTATGCTGGGAATTACCTGATAGCATTTGACTGATGGAAAATTTCCCATCCTAAAAATATTGATGTGTCTCCAGGCTTCTGAGTACAGATGGGGAAGAATGGCTAAAGTGTACAAAAGCAGAGAATCAAAATTAAATAAAAAAATATATAAACCTGTACCTTGGAGAGGACAGACCTGTTTTTGTGACATTTTATTGGCTTTTAGAGCACTTATATGTAATAGCTTCATTGTTGGTTTTGTGATACATACACCTTACCTATGTACTGACTAAGCTTGTGGGATTGAAGTTGAGGATAGTATAGTATATGATTTTGGGTGGCATACATGCTTTATCATGCTGCAGTAACCTGCCGAGGTCAATTCCATATTTCCTTTTTGCCCAAAATATTCATTATTTGGCCATTAATCAGGTTATTCAGCATCCTTCCATAACCAGTCAACCAACTATCATAGCTCAGCCATTTAATGTGTCTCCAACCACTTGTGCCTTGATTCTATTCCTCCAGTCTTTTCTTAAATTAACATACATGCTTTTCGACTGTGGGAGGAAGTGGAGTACCAAGAGAGACCCCATGCATACATGGGGAGAACATAAAAACTCCACACAAAAGGCACCAGGAGTCCTCTTGTTGCGAAGCGACAAGCTAATCACCACACCACCGTGCAGAACAAGTACCACAATAGAAAGCATTACATACTACACCGACACCAAGGGAAATAATTAGACGTAAATGGTCAATATTTTGGCTAAAAATGCAGATTTGGCAACAAAATAAGGTAGAAAACCCTGCAAAACATTTGGAAATGGCATCCATTTCTATCTCTATTGTCATCAACTGAACATAGCCTTGCTCATTTTTATCCTAAATTACCAACAAAATGAACACCTCTGACCACAACAATAATCATCAGCTCCTAGGTATCATAATTCAATGTGTGATTTTGGTTTTAGGGCTTAGAGGAATATGAATGCAAAAACTACTACGGTTACTACTTAACTTTGTTAAAGAGGTAGAAGTAACAGTAATGGTGACAGTAATGGAGGACTACACTGCACGTTCTGGACATGTCACTGAGAAGGCGCACCTCTTCACCCATGATGCTGAACTACTGGCCATTGCACAGCTGTCCATGCTCTCGTCTGAGAATTCACCTGTGTTACATTTCAATGCTATGTGTGTACTCATCACCTAAGTTGTTGCCAGGCAACAGATACAACACCCCAGTCCATTCACGGTGATCGCATTTAAAAAATGTTCTATTTATTTGCATCTCTAAAAATAGCATATCTTTAACAGTAATTCCTACTGCAACGATTACATTTTCCAATGGGGATTAGTAAAGCATGATTTAATCTGACTGAATTGAATTGGAAAACACAATTTTTTGTTTTGACTTTATATATCACAGGTTTCAGAGTAAATTCAGGGTTTTATCTCTCTCTCTTTCTATGATTGCATATATGTTTTGCTGGGAAACAAAATCATTAATGTGCTGGCACAATATAATATAAGATGTGCCTCCACCTTTGCTCTCCTGCTGTGGAGTAGAAACAACTCTAAATGCAGGGTGATGATTACCTTTACAGAGAAACCCAACAGGGAGAAAAGCACACACATACTACACGTACAACTACACGAGAAACTGGATTTTTTTTCTTTCTGTGTGTAGACGAATGGGGGAGGATCTATGCCATGTGCACTTCCCATTAAACATCAGAAGGAAAAAGATTGCAGATGAAAAAGAGGACGAAGACTTTGATCCTCAGTGATTATCATGAGTTATTCTCAACCCACCTGTTGTCCGTAGGTCTCACAGGGGAAAACAAAACCCCTCAAACAGCATAGAGAAACTTTTGGCTCTATATTCACCGTAAATTATTCAGGTATGAAAATTGAAATACTGGACTTAAAGTGCAAGTAGGACAATGGGTTATGTCAAAATTAGTCAATGACAGTACTATAATATTGTTACTGGTAATGCATTGATGAATTTCTAATTGTTTTGTTAGCACATAGTAAAACAAGCAAAAGTCACTAAATAATGTTTCTGAGTGGCAAAACATTGTGAAGCTCTTGTTGGGAGGTAACTAGGAGGAAAACATTTGAAAACAATCGACTGATCTTCTGAATTCAACTTTCCGTCTGCCTCTATCCTCACAATCCTCTCAATTTTCATCTCCTGTTGCGCTGCTAAAGGGGAAATCATAGGCAGAA